AAACCATGTTTTTGTGCGCTTACATTGTAATCGCTGGCTAAACCTTACGCGATAGATAACGATGTACTATGAAATTGTATATCTTAAAAAGTTTTACAAAAAAATCCGCGATGTCGTCTATCTCCTAAGGATCCACAGTTACCATTTTTATCTTTTACAAAAAAAATAAATTGGAAATTTACGTTCTTTTTTTTACAATACTGTATTAGTCCTTATCCAAATAAAAACTTTTGATATGTTATGCATTTAATGTAGATCAAAATTGCCTTTTACAACATATCATTAAAGTTAATATCGTAGTAGATATCAGAGATTTAAACAGGAGGGGCAAAACGGCAGTCGCTGCGTTAGGCCGTACGTCCGTCCCGGGTGGCAGCGGCAGGAACGGAGCGGGCTTATAAATGTTGCATAATTATAAAGATGTCCTGTAGTATCGTAACAATAGTATAATTAATTATATATTCATATAGTATCTAAATTGCACCCGTGTGAAGCCACGGCGGATCGCTAGTCTATTATTAATGTAAAAGTGAGTTTATTTGATTGTATGTTTGTTCGTTACGCTTTCACGCCTAAACTAAAAAACCGATTTAAAAAATCTTTCACCAATGCTTACAACATAGCCTACTTTTTACAAGCTTTATATTAGCTTCACTTGTATGTTTGTTTGTAACCGACTCCTTTGGGCGTGATTTTGACTGACTTTAAACGTTCAGAATTCGTTCAAACTTTTTAGATATATCGAGGACCGATGACAATACACTTATTAAAAAAAAATATATAAATAAAAATAGTTTGAAAAAACACGCTTTTTATAGAAAACCAAACTAAAAAATATAATATTGAAAAAAAGCGTGGGGTGCTTTTTACTATTGGCAACAGGCACCCAAGTTTTTTTTCAAATTTATTAAAACTTATTACACGCGGGCGGAGCCGCCGGAAAAAGCTAGTTATGTATAAAAAAATATAACTATGCAGATGTAACTAATTTAATATCATATTATTGTTGGAAATCCCATATTTGATTGTTTACAAAAAGTAATGTATGACTTTTCGTTGTTTTTTATTTTGATAACCTTGTGGTCAGACGATATCATGATGTTTTCAATACAGTAGTGGGAGTATATTTATTTATTACCCGTTCTTTTGAGGTTTTCCCAACGTTTATGCCTAAAGTATGAGATTTTTCTACCGATTTCAAACTGGTGGTGGTAACACACCATGAATAGGCAACATCTATACTAATATTATAAAGCTGAAGAGTTTGTTTGTTTGTTTGAACACGCTAATCTCAGGAACTACTGGTCCGATTTGAAAAATTCTTTCAGTGTTAGATAGCCCATTTATCGAGGAAGGCTATAGGCTATATATCATCACGCTAAGACCAATAGGAGCGGAGCACCAATGAATAATGTTTCAAAAACGGAGAAAATTTATTACTATTGAGAGACGCAGACGAAGTTGCGCGGGTCAGCTAGTACAGTATAAAATACAAAATAAAAAGACAATAATAATAATAATTAACTAATAATTTCACACATCTCACACGCGGCCGTATGATCCCCAAATAGGTAGAGCCTGTACTATGGGAACCAGACTGCTGATAAACATACTTATATATTTCTAAATACATACATAATTTAGATAAATTACACCCAGACACAGAACAAATGATCGTGCTCATCACACAAATATTTGTCCTGGGTGGGAATCGAACCCACGACATCCGGCTTAGCAGTCAGGGTCACTAACCACTAGACCAACAGGCCCGTCTTGTGGCCAATGGGCGGCCTAATTGTGTTTTCTTGCAGGCAACCTTTAGATGGACTGTACTGTATAGAAATACTTTGTTGTGTGTAATACGTTTAATTCCACATTAAATCTTCTTTATTTATCTTAATTCTATTAATCCGTCACCACACAGAAATTGTTTTGTACTTATAAGTACATAATAAGAATAAAGATTGTCACCATCCCTATATATCCCGTGGGTGTCGTAAGAGTCGATTAAGGGATCAAACTTCGCAGGATAGCAGCACTACTATCACTATGAGAAGGAAAACTTGACACAAACCCTATACCAACCCGTTTGGCCAGCGTGGTATATATTAGGCAAAACCTCGTTTCTAAGGAGAGGCCTATGTCCAGAAGTGGACTATTAAAGGCTGTTGATTAAGAGGATATTTGATTGTAACAAAAATTCCAAGCCTTCGATTATAGCCAAAAGTGGTATACTACCAGACCGCTGAGTGTTCTGTGAAAGTAAACTTATAAATGGCTCTTTAAAATATAATTCAGTTAGTCGTGATAAAATTAATTTAAATGTTGAACAGTACAGACTAAGACTCCCTCGGTTGTGCAGTAGTGGCGTATGCGACTGCTGCTATGCTGAGGTGTCGGATTGGATCCCGGGTCGGACAGAATGATTCTTTGGTAAACTAGAAACAAATACCAACCTGTTTGGCCAGCGTGGTATAGTAAACCAAAACCTTCTGTTTAAGGAGAGGCCTATGTCCAGCAGTGGACTATTAAAGACTGTTGATGTGATGATTAATATACGTTTAATCCCACATTACACAATTCTATTTAAGTATATTACAAAAGATATTTCTCATATTGACGGTGAATGTAGGCCCCTATGAGGTCCCTAGCAGGCCTTTGGAAAACTTCTTATAAGCAGCCGCATATTCTGTATTGGTCTGGTATGGGTATTCTGTTCTCATCTCTTTGCAGGAACACCCTAGTACCAACTTTCCCCCTTTGAACCGCATCCGACGGAGAGTGACTCCAATCGTCAATGCCAGAACATATCCAATCGGCTTGACCTCTTGGTGGGGCGTACAGATGCATTTCTTTTTTACCACATTCACACAACGCCATCTACTATGGGTGCTCGACAACTGATATAAATACATATATACTTTTTTTTGTACATATATACATATTATACATAGAAACACCCAGACCAAATCAAACATTAAAAGCTCAGTCACTTGAGCGCGAACCGAACCCGCGACCTTTGAAATAGCAGTCCGTTACACAAACCATACGCCATCCGGTCGTCAAATTCTCTATCACTTGTCTCATGGGAAGTGATGCGAGGACTTATCTGGAGGAAAAACAGTGAATGTGATATTTGGTTAAAATGATTGTGACCATGAACCCTTGCTGTATACGATAAAGAGTAAGGTACCACTGATAACGCAACCCAAGAAACCCTTTGTTGTTATGAACCCCAAGTGTATCATATAATTATTCAATTTCTTAGAACTGTGTGTGTTCGTATTATTGTATTATAAAAGTAGGTATTGTAGAAATGAGTAAGTATGAATCATTAATAAAAACAGATGTGCTCCCAAGAAATAAATGGTTGTATAATTTACTTGTACTTTTTTTTGTATTGACGATTATTTATTGTTATAAAATGTTTACATCACATCACATCAACAGCCTTTAATAGTCCACTGCTGGATATAGGCCTCTCCTTAGAAACGAGGTTTTGGCCTATTATACCACGCTGGCCAGACGGGTTAGTATAGGGTTTGTGTCAAGTTTTCCTTCTCTTTGGAGTGCTGTTATACTGCGTAGTTAGCCTTAGTCGGGTCTTACGACACCCACGGGATGAACAGTGGTGTTGCCACTCCGTATTCTTAATCCGTCACCACACGTATCATCATCATCATCAGCCTATCGCAGTCCACTGCTGGACATGGGCCTCTCCCATTACACGCCACTTAGATCGATTTTGGGTTTCTCGCATCCAGCTGCTGGCAGTCATCTTGCGCAAAATCGTCATTCCACTTGGCCTGTGGGCGCCCTACACTACGTTTGCGGAGGCGCGGTCTCCACTCAAGAACTCGTTTTCTGCAACGGTTGTCGGTTCTGCGGCTATATATGGCCAGCCCACTGCCACTTCAGCTTCCTACCACATAAAATGGTATTCTATGAATAATAAGTCTGACGTTTTGTTTGAGTTTCTTCTTCTCCCTCAGTTGCCCGTTAGAAGCCTCAGAAGAAGTACAAAAAGGAATATCATCAAAATAGTCATAAGACTTCAATGATACTGAAAGACTATTTATCTTATTTTTATCAAAAAATACTAAAGACACCAGTAGGAGTTTCCTTTGTCACATCACTTCGTTTCACTTTTCACACTCTTCACGTTTTTAACCAATGGTATTGTAAAAACTAACGTTTTTTCCATATTTTTTTTATATAGGGGGGCAAACAAGCAGTTGGGTCACCTGATGGTAAGTGACTACCGCAGCTCGTGGAGACCTGCAACTCTAAAGTCATAGATTGCGTTGAAGGCATATAAATTATTGCTACTTTTTAATTATAATCATTTAATGTAATGATTGGGTTTAGTCACTGCGATTTCAACTGCCACCAAAATCTTTTTTCAGCATAATGGTTAGTAAATTTAACCTGTTACGTCAGAGGATGTGTGTTCGATTCCCACCCAGAACAAATAATTGTGCAATGAGCACGATGATTTGTTCTGTGTCTGGGTGTATATTATCTATAATATATTTGTCTATCAACAGTCTGATTACCATCTGAGTCTTGGTGTTCTTTGTGTATGTTTGTAAAGTCCACCGCGACACAGGATATATTCCTAATGCGGGAGTTGTCTTATTACTATGACTTATAACTAAGGTACAAAATAAAGCGAACGCTGCTTATTGATTTAATTAAAAACATGTTTGCATTTCCGCGAAATAATGGTTAACTTGATACGAAAACAGGAAATTTCGTGTTCAACACACAGTTTACCGAAAAAAACACAGCTGTGTTTAATGTGATGTGTTAATGTAAATATTAAAAATATTCACCAACAACTTTCCAAGAAACTCTTGCCCGCTCTTTGTCCAATGAAGACACGAATCTGCCTGTGAACGCTAGAGTGTTGATAAGGACAACCCCTGACCTACCGCTCGGGCATATAAGAAGAGGTATTACCGTTCGAACTTCAGTGATTCACTAACTACAGAGGCAATATGATTTCCTTGCTAATATTCGGGCTCATCGCAAGTGCTTACGCAGCACCAAATGCCATTCCATCGTGGCATCCCTATCGGCACCGACATCATCATCATGGGCCGTCACGATTTTTGTCCGAATACCATCACCACTCGCAGCTTAATAGTAACAACTATTTCGACACAAATAAGTTTTGGGCTGATTTCAATAAAGAAATGAAGAATCTCAACGACATGCTAACTGAGTTCTCACAGCATTTCCCCACTATTGTCTCTCAAGATAGTGTTGTAGGTAATGAATATAGAATCACGATTCCGCTCTCAGGATTTGAAGTGAAGGACATCATTGTGAAGGCCCGCGATGGTTTTCTGATGATACAAGCTCACCACAAAAATTCTGAAGGTAATGAAAATAACTATTTGAATGTTAGGGCTCTACCTGCTACGGTTACGGTGAACGGCAAATGGAATTATGACGGTAGTGTTTTGAAGATTATGTTTCCTTTAAAGGAAGGTGTTGAGACACAGACTGTGGAATCTGTAAGCGTCATATCCACCGATCTTACTACGGAAATTCCAAGGTTAGATCGTGAAAACGTTGACCAGACACACGTTGATCATGTAAATAGCCAAGACGCTGATGTGGGTCTTAACAGAGGTGATGTCGAGGCAGAAGTGAAGACTGATGAGTTTGACGACAGGAATACTGTAGAGGCAACAACTTACGCCGTAGATTTGCAAAATGAAGTGGAATTTGTGCCTATAAAATACTAGGTGCTTGATAAGTTGTGTGAGTTGAATAAAGTATTTTATTTTAGTAAGTTTTTTTATTGATTATTATTTCTTGCGCATCTAAGTTGCTCGTATAACTTAATTAATCTATTTGTGTAGCTAGTTTTTTTGTACTGATATTAGTTTAAATAACCCTTAACGCTCTGAGGCGATCTCTTACAGTCAACCATGCGATGAAGTGTTACAAAGTACAATATTTACAGAATTAAAGTATAGACGATAGATTCCTCCGTTCACTAAACAATCCTCTTCTGCTATGCCCCACTCATACTTCTGCTTGTGTCCAGTCCTCGGTCCTAATCCAATCCGTACTCCTCCGGAACGCTCTTCCTCTAGCAATCAGGATAGCACCCAGCCGCCTCTCGTTCAAGATGAAGGTTCGAGCTCGCATTCTATACACCCTAGCAGATTCATTACAACCTTAAAGTTTTATATATTATTAATATGTAGGTTTATGTATGTATGTAACTAGGTGAGTATTTATGTATGTATTTGTTACGTATGTATGTATATTTATCGCACTGTTTCTGTCTAATTTCTCAATAATTTTCTTTTACTTTACATATCAATCTCTATTGCATCTATTCACACATTTCAGCACCACCCTAAGTTAGACTGGGAGAAAATGCCTGTGGCATTAAGTCCGCTATTGTACACCTCAAACCTGTGCATAAAGAGTTAAAATCAAATAAATAATAGGATTTTCATAAACGTAACGCTAATGTTGAACTTGTAAATTACAAATAACTGTCATAAGTGTAATTAGGTTCCAGAAAATATCCAATGGATATGTCGCCTTAGATTAGAGAAATTTGCATTTCTTGAATGAATCTGTTTAATTTATGCATGGCCTTTTTCTCGGCTTAATCAAGGGTTTCTTTTTAATAGACAATCTTTTTTCAAAGCATTCAATAAGTCACAATTGTAAGGTATTTGCTTTCTTTTTTACATTTCTGTGCCTTTCATCATCATCATCATCAACTAATAGTCCACTGCTGGACATAGGCCTCTCCTTCCAATGGAGGTTTTGGCTTACTATCCTTTTATCATACGCCGACCTAACGTTATAAAACTTAGTATTTTTAATACAAAATCGACAATATTTGGTTCCGTTAAGGGCGTTTATGATTTACGTTCTTTTCTATTTGATGTTGTCTGCAAAGACTGTATTTCGGAGGTCCAAGAGTACCCCCGAGTGTATATATATCACCATAGGGGTAATAGTAGTTCTCCTTCTGCGAGCAAGTTATGCTCGCGAAGGAGACGGCGGAGCGGGACCGGGAGAGGTTTAGGACTCTCCCGGCCCGCCAGGCCCGGGAACGGGCCAGGTACCGCAGGCGACTCAGGCGCCGGAGGTCGCAGAACGACCTCCGTCCTCCATAAGCGCAGGCCTGGGGGTAACAGGTGAGGCCATCTGTCACCCTAGCAGAAGCAGGCTGGGGTGGCGGCGAGCGCGTTGCGAAGCGCGCTCGCTTCCAGGGAGCACAGTTTCATCAACAGCCTTTAACAGTCCACTGCTGGACATAAGCCTCTCCTTAGAAAGGAGGTTTTGGCCTACTATACCACGCTGGCCAGACGGGTTACAATAAAAAAAAATTAAAAAAAAAAAGTAAAAAAAAAAAAGATTTTTTTTTTTGATAAAATACAGTATGAATATTATAAATTATGTTGTTGATCAAAAAGCTGTAGATAGAACAAGAAGGCTCAATACCTTTCTGTATTCTAAATTTACTGACTGCACGGATGGCGTAGTGGTTTAAGCGGTCGCCACGCCGCTTCCTACTGCGCCGAGTGTTGTGGGTTCAAACCCCACATGGGAAGACACTTTGTGTGATCTACAAATTGTTGTTCTAAATCTGGGTGTTCTTTGTGTCCGTTTCATGTATGTTTGTAAAGTCCCCCGCGACACAGGAATGTATTCCTAATGCGGGCGTAGTCTTTAAAAAAAAAAACAAAAAAAAAAAATTCAGATCCGTTCAGTAGTAATTAATTGGGTATCAAAATTTTTGCTGTTATACGTTCAGAAAAAAACAGAAATAGTTGTTTCTATCTTAATGCTAGTAACTTTCGAAAACTGTTTGAAGGAGTACGTATATAAGTGCGCCAGTATATATTTAAATTTAATTAGAAACAATACATTGGTTTTATAAAGATTTTGATAGCGTAAAAATGGGCTATGTTTGTGTCTTACCTCGTGCTGTTTCGGTTTTTGTAGTGCATTACTTTTAAATTGTCTTTTTGCAGTCGCTTTTTTTATTTTTTAAATGATTACTTCTTCAAACGTTGTAAATAATGTAGACAGAAAAATCTAGAAATTTCTAAATGATGAGTCTACCTATTAACATTAACAGCATTGATTTTCATTCGTCGTCCCGGCTGGAAGTTTCTAGTCCTGACTTTGACGATGTCGGGACACTCCAAACTATAATTGGCTGTCGTTGTGAGGACGCACTAGTTCCAGCATCTTCGCTTTGACTGAGGTATGTGGGTACGTAGGTACGGTATGTAGGTATGGCAAGTACTCTACAAAACTATAACGAGCTTAATAAGAACAAAACACAATGTAAGTACGCAATAAAGTAAAACTAAAATGTTAATTATTTATAAACGTAGACGTCAATATTTCTTAAACAGTAGTTTTTTCTTTCTTGACAGCATCTTTAGAAGAAAAGTTTCTGAATTGAATTTTTATAACATTTTATCCCTGTTAAAATAACGGCACACACAAGGACAACTGGCGTGCAACTGGAGAGGCCTATGTCCAGCAGTGGACTGCGATAGGCTGAAAATGATGAAAATGATAAGGGGTCTTACTCCCTAGCTTATTTTTCTCTCTTTATGTATCACTTCTTCCTTTATTCCCTTTGAAAACACTTACATTAAAATTAGGTAGGTAGGCCTAGTTACGAACTAGGCCTAACTTTCTAATTAAAAGTCTAGGAAGTGTGACCTGAAAAGTTTCAGCTCAAGACACAAACCTAGGCGCCGTAGGACGTAGAAGCTACTCGTAGAAAGCAATAATCAAAGTGCATATTCATCAGAAACTGTGGTAAGCAGCTGCAGCACATCACATAACAGTGACTACTAACGCCCGTGAAAGTCTGTAACTCAGGAGTCACAAACACATTGCCGGCCTTTGAGGATGGAGTACGCTCTATTCTTGAAGGTTGTGTCGGTCCAGAAATAGCGTAGATAATAATTTGTTCCACAGATTGATTGAGCGAGTTAAAAATGTCTTGAAAAGCGCGCAGTTGTGGAGTGCCAATTATCCAAGTGAAGGGGATGAAAATTTTGATTTGGGGAACGATGGAGGATAGTAGCTGGGCTATGTATTACATCATCTACAGCTTGATTAGTTTGAATTGAAGGCAAATAAAACAGACAGAAGTCCGTGTGGTGACGGATTAAGAATACGGAGTGTCACCACGCCTACTCATCCCGTGGATGTCGTAAGAGCCGACTAAAGAGATAAACTATGCAGGATAACAGAACTGCAAAGAGAAGGAAAGCTTGGCACAAAACCCTTTTTTTTTTTTTTTAACGTGTGGAAATCCCCTCGGACCGTCACCCCACCGGGGTTTGCGGCGGGGTGGTGTGTCGGACTCGGACCGACTAAAACCACACGGTGTGCCCTCTTTGCGCTTCCAGTTTAGGAGGGGTCCAGGTAGTTTTCGCCTTCTGGACCCCTCCCAGCGCCGGCCCGCTCCAGTTGGTGGCACAAAACCCTATACCAACCCGTTTTCCCAGCGTGGTATAGTAGACCAAAACCTCCTTTCTAAGGAGAGGTCTATGTCCAGCAGTGGACTATTGAAGGCTGTTGATGTGATGTGTGATGTGAAAATAGACAGGCTTTTGGGTTGGTATGTATTTAGAAATATTTAAGGATGTTTGTCAGCAGTTCGGTTATCATAGCACAGGTTCTACGTAGTTTGGGATAAGACTGCCGTATTAGTTTATAATAATAACCTCACCTCACATATATCACACACGGCCATCTGGTATCAAACCTGGGCAGAGTCTGTGCTATAGTAACCAGACTGCTGATAAACATATGAGTACTTATATAATTCTAAAAACATAAAAATTATAGATAAATTACACCCAGACACAGACCAAATGATCGTGCTCATCACACAAATATCTTTACTGGATGGGAATCGAACCCACGATCTCTCCTAGTGGATCTAGAAGATCTGGAAAAGATAATGTCCTAGTGGAATAAATTAGCAGTAAAATGTAAAAGGTAATGTTTAAGTTATGATAGGATCCAAGTTTTAAAAGTAGAAACAAATACTTAGTAACAAATTAGTCGACCCGCGCAGTATCGTCTACTTCTCTCAAAAGAAATAAAGTTCCTATTGGTCGTAGCATGATACTTACCACCTCAAAGGTTGGATAGATTCGAGAACTTTCCACCTCAGAGGTTGGATAGATTCGAGAACTTACCACCTCAGTGGTTGGATAGATTCGAGAACTTACCACCTCAGAGGTTGGATAGATTCGAGAGCTTACCACCTCAGAGGTTGGATAGATTCGAGAACTTTCCACCTCAGAGGTTGGATAGATTCGAGAACTTTCCACCTCAGAGGTTGGCTAGATTCTAAAACTTTCCACCTCAGAGGTTGGATAGATTTGAGAACTTTCCACATCAGAGGTTGGATAGATTTGAGAACTTTCCACATCAGAGGTTGGATAGATTCGAGAACTTACCACCTCAGAGGTTGGATATATTCGTGAACTTACCACCTCAGAGGTTGGATAGATTCGAGAACTTACCACCTCAGAGGTTCGATAGATTCGAGAACTTACCACCTCAGAGGTTGGATAGATTCGAGAACTTACCACCTCAGAGGTTGAATAGATTCGAGAACTTACCACCTCAGAGGTTGGATAGATTCGAGAACTTACCACCTCAGAGGTTGGATAGATTCGAGAACTTACCACCTCAGAGGTTGAATAGATTCGAGAACTTACCACCTCAGAGGTTGGATAGATTCGAGAACTTACCACCTCAGAGGTTGGAAAAATTCGAGAACTTATCACCTCAAATGTTGGATAGATTTGTGAACTTACCACCTCGGTGGTTGGATAGATTTGAGAACTTTCCAATCCGTCGACTGGTTGAGAATGCCTTGGGCATTAAATTTGGCCGTTCTGGCCGTTGCAAATACTTGTGCAAAAAGATATAAAACAAATTAAAATTAACGTTCCTCAAACTACTAATCAATACAATTTCTGTAGAATAGAGATACTTTTTAATTGATTTTAATGTTTACCGACTTTGAAAAAATTGCATTCCTGAAAACATATTTGTTTACTATTGCGCAGTAGCAAAACCACATTCTCTTTAAAAAATCAATCAAACAAAAACCTACTTTATGCCAACTGCCATATGGTATACAATTTAATTAATTAAAATTAAATAACGCTTCTAAGAAAATCTTTGACCCCTTGTCCGGTGCAGACACAGAATTGTTTGCACACTCCAGAATATTGATAACGATGACTTATGACCCAGCGTCCGGGCATATAAAACGAACTCATATCATTTGCACTTCAGTGATTCACAAACTATTGAGAGAAAATGATCTCTGTACTACTTTTCGGGTTTATTGCGAGTGCTTGCGCAGCTCCACAATTCCATGATGGATTTCGCAACCGTTTTGGACCTCCACCGTTTTACCCTGATTACCGCCACTTCCATCCAGCGAGACAACAAACAGCGCCAGAAGCAAACAACTTATTTGACACCAACGCATTTTGGTCTGAATTCTCCAAGGAAATTAAGGAACTTGACGAAATGATGGCTGAATTCACCAGGCGCTTTTCAACCAGGATGTCCCAAGAAGGCGTTGAAGGTAATGAGTACAGAATCACGATAACTCTATCAGGATTCGAAGAGAAAGACATCATTGTGAAGGCTCGTGAGGGTTTGCTGATGATACAAGCTCACCACAAGTATGAGGAAGGCAGTGAGAGAAACTATTTGGATATTAGACATCTACCTGCTTCGGTTAACGTGACTGGCACATGGAGTTTTGATAAAGGTGTTTTGAAGGTTGTATTCCCATTGAAAGAAGGGTCAAACCCACAAACTGTAGAATCCGTGAATGTTGTGTCTACGGACTTTACCACAAAAAAACCTACGTTTGACCGAGAAGAGGTGGTCGAGACTCATGATGATGAAACTGTTGGTGTCCAAGATGCTGATGTAGGTCTAGTTGAAAAAGATGATCGGGAAGTGATGACGAACGAAATACCTGACAGTAACGTCGTAGAAGCCACAACGTATTCAGTTGATTTGAAGGATGAAGTGGAATTCGTACCTGTAAGATACTAGGTGCTTTGTAAGAATTATAAGTTAAATAAAATGTATATATTGTGAGTCCTTTTGTTGATTTATTGTTCACGTTTCTGTATACGAAAAGAGTATTTTACCGCTACGGTTTAAATTGTACAAACACCAAGTTTTATGCAAGTTTGTTATTGTTTGACATTTATTATTGGACAGCGGCGAACTCCAAATTCAGAGTTATTCTGTTCATATCTATGTTACTTTGTAACTATCAGAAAATCTGAGTTCATTTTTACGAGTCGATGATGAACAATTCATAATTAATTTCTACCTATAATAATTGTATCGATTATTTATTATTCATCAAGATTTTTTAACTTTATTGTTCGAGTCTATTGATGGTTTTTTTAGCTCCAAATATTTTCATCCAGCGAAACTGGCTGATTATAATACCTTGTTTGGCTATTCTAACAGAACACTAACCAGTGTGCACAGACCCTCCGATAGGCTTAAGACGGCCCTGCTCATAGGTACATTATTGGATCATGCCTTAATGCGCTTCTTTTGTTATTATTTAAAGAAACACTTAACTAATAGTGATATGATAACACGTCCGATGATTTAATTTATTTATTTAAAACATTTACAGTGTCTTTACAGGATCCTTATCCCAAAACGATACTGGAAGAAAAAACAGTAACAATTATTTTATAAAGAAAAATCATTTGCTGTAATACACCTTTGGGCAACTTCTTTGAAGTTAGGCAGGCTACAGTTGTAGATATCTACATGTATTGAAATAATATTAATGAGCCTTATTGGTATAATATAGGGGCATATCTAAGCAGGTTTGTTCGAGTTACGCGAACGCTGAGTTTATTATGAGTTTATCTTTTACAGAACTTAATCTCAAATTAAAGAATTACGTTATACTAAATTGTTTATATATATATATATATATATATATATATATATATATAGCGTTGCGATTGGAGAAGCCAATCGTAGCGCTGAATGCGATCATCGTGTCGATTGAGTAGAAGTGAAATAAACTTGTACTTGGACATCAGCTTAGAGTTTTCTAGAAGATTAAAACCAGATTTAAAATAAAACAAGAATAATAATAAATTTATGTAACAACGATTTTAAGAAATGAAAAGACAATTCTCGAAAAATCCGTAGACAACTAAGTACATAATACTATCTAACAAATATAAAAGAGATGGTTTTGTCTCTTTTATAATTGAGTAGTGTTTGATTAGGTTTTGCCTACGGATTAGTTTACGTTGAAGTACTGTATTACAGTGTGTGATGAATTCTTATTTCCTACCAACTCATCTCTCAAAACAAATAAATTGTCGACGTTATTGCTACATTTTTAAATGATGCTGGGCTCGGTCATAGCCTGATGTTCTTTAACCCATAGTCGAGCCGATAAATGGGCTACAGAACACTAAAAGAATTTTCTTTTCTTTTTTTATAAAGGTTTACTAGCAACTCAAATTACTAGTATTCCCGTAAACCCCTCCAGCTAAGCTATATTGATTGTGTTAAGAGTGGGTTTACGTCGGTGGTGTACTGGTCATTATTACTTAAAAACAAAAGTTGAATGATATTATATGTAACCTCATTTACTCGGTGAATTACAACGAAATACTTGTTTGAAACCGGTTTGCTGTGAGGCCCTGGTATCACTCTGGTCGAGCCTCAGTGACTAATGCCACTCTGAGTGTTCCCGGATCTCTCCTATAGGCGCAGAGTGGCACACCGTGTGATTTTAGTAGGTCCGATTCCGACACACCACCTCGTCGCAAACCCCGGAGGGGCGACGGCCCGAGGGGGTTTCCACACGTAAAAAAAAACAAATCACTGCATTGAATAATAGTTTTAAATCATGGCATTGAATAATAGTTTTAAAATAAGAGTAAAATAAAACTTTTTTGAAGTCGATTAAAAATGACTATAAGAGCGGATATCATTTAGCTCAACTTAAAATTCATATAATTGAGTTTTTATCACTATGTTGTTATCACAAGTTTACAATGTAGAAAGAACGAGACAGCATATATTGAACACGAGTAGCGATGTCTGCGTAGACCGATAATACTATCATTATGCGCCATGGCATATTAGCATTTACTGATAACCTAATATATGGCTCTAATATGTTTACTTAAGTGGTGTGACTGAACACTATCATCTAATATTGTATTATTCCCAATGTTCTACATACGAATATATGTAGGTAATAAGTACAAGTCACAAAAATGAATTTTAAACCTTCGTGTTCACGTGTGAAAGTATAAATTAGCTTGCATGGTGCATTTCCAGGTGCTGTATTGTACCTATTGTAGATATTATTACAATTAGTTTATTCCGATTGGATTAACCATTTATAATCAATTACACTCGGGAGGAATGAATGCGAATCACACGAGAGATACTAATTCGGTTATGTGAAGATAAAGAAAGAAGAAGAAATCTTATTAAAAAAAAACTGTGTTTAAAAGACAATTAAATATTTGGTAAATGAAAGTTACATAGCAAACCAACAAAAAAATTGGCAGGCATTTAAAAATGTCAATGTAAAAAACTGGGAATTATCATCGACCTTTAATAGCCCACAGCCGGACAGAGGCCTCTTCTTAGAACGGAGGTTTTGGCCTATTATCCCACGCTGGTTGGATTGGTATCAGGTTTATTACAAATTTTAATTCTCTTTGCAGTGCTGTTGTTGTTGTTTGAACCCTTAGTCGGCTCTTACGACACCCACGGAATTAATAAAGGTGGTTACACTCCGTATTCTTAGTCCGTCACTACACCAATTCTGAACGGTAATAAACAGTAAGTTCTTAGCCGTGTTTACGAAAGTCGTGGTAAATACGGCTAAGAATTGAATTGAATGAATTAAATGAAAGTATCTAATAAAGCAACTTTGACGCAACCTGGATTTATTGCTCTCGAGTGTATATGGTATCGGTGGGACCGTGGCTGGTTTGGGTCATAAGGCCCAAGACTGAGCAGCAAATGCACCGAGGTGTCCGGTGTGCAGCGACCACGGCCGGCCCGCCAACCATCGGCTGGGTAGCAAGAGCTGTTGCCCACCGAAGCAGCAAAGGAGCGGAGAGGTCCAACCTCGCCCCGCCTTTGCCCAATCGGGCAAACAGCCAGTGTCGAGTGGTAACTCGACGGGAGAGGCAATGGAGGCTTAACATTCCCACCACAAGCAAGGATTCTCCAGGGCAACCTCAACCACTGCCGCGCAGCGCAGGATCTATTGATCCAGACACTTGCGGAGCAGTCGGTTGCCCTGGCAGTCATTGCAGAGCCCTATACCGTCCCGGACCATCCGCGTTGGTTCGGGGCGAGGCTTCCATTGCTCTCTCCTAAGAAAGGGTGCTGGCTTCGTAGCAGTGGAGTGGGGATTAACAGTGGTGGTGGGGTGCTACTTCTCTCCCAATCGTGGCCTAGCTGAATATGAGGCATACCTTCACGGGTTGGCAATCTGCATTCGCAGCTATGCCTCCCGTCCGGTATTTGTCCTGGGTGACTTCAACGCCCACTCAAGGGAGTGGGGTGACACTCGGGACGATGCGAGGGGAGAGACTATCCTGGAGTGGGCGGCTGGACTGGACCTCCGACTTCTAAATCGGGGCTCAGTTAGCACCTGTGTGCGATGGCAGGGGGAGTCGATTGTCGACTTGTCATGGGCGACTCCCTCTGCAGTGCACATGGTGTCGGGATGGCGGGTGGCGGAGGAAGTGGTCAATCTTTCTGACCACCGGCACATCGTATTCGATGTGTCTCTCCGCCGCGCTGACCGCCCACGTCAGGATAGAGAACCTCCGCGACGATGGTCCCTCAAGCGGCTTGACCGAGAGATGGTCGTTGCCGCATCCCACGTGGCGGATTGGTTGGAGGAAAGGGTTTCGCCCGATCCAGAAGAACAGGCGGCTTGGTTCGGGAACATTATGGCGTCCGTATGTAATGCCTCAATGCCCCGAGTCAGGCCAGCCAGGAAGGGCTCGGCGTACTGGTGGAGCGTGGAGATCTCGCAGCTGAGAACGACGGTCGCGAGATTGCGTCGCCCGTATCTTCGAGCCCGGAGAAGACGGCGAGCTACAGCTGAGGAGATCGACGTAGCACGGCGGGAATATGGCGCTGCTGTAAAGGCTCTCAGCGATGCAATCGCTAAGGCCAAGGCTCGGTCTTGGAAAGAACTCATCGGGGGACTGGATAGGGACCCATGGGGGCGCCCGTACAAAATTGTACTGGGCAAGCTAAAACCATGGGTCCCTCCATTGACGGAAACCCTGGACCCGGAGTTCCTGGGAAGAGTGGTAGACACGCTCTTCCCAAGGGTCCAGGACAGTCCCTTGATCTCTCCGTTACAATCGGACCGGCAACTCTGGTCCGACGAGTGGGAGGTGACGGAGGGAGAGCTGGACCGAGTCGTGCGGCGGCTGGCTTCCCGCAACACTGCGCCCGGACCTGATGGTATTCCAGGTCGGGCGCTGGTGATAGCTCTGTCGGTACTGGGGGACAAACTGAGGCGGATTTTCACAGATTGTCTTAGCCTCGGTGTCTTCCCCCTAGGCTGGAAAGAAGCGAGACTGGTGCTCTTGAAAAAGGAAGGTAGGACTGCAGATTCTCCCTCTGCGTTCCGACCGATATGCCTGCTGAACGAGTCGGGGAAACTCTTTGAGAGGGTTATCTCCGATCGTATCAGCGGGCACCTGTCGCGAGTAGGCCCTGATCTGTCGGACTGCCAGTTTGGATTCCGACGGGGGCGTTCGACAGTGGACGCTATCAGGTGCGTTCGCTCCATGTCGGAGTCGGCAGTCCGATCAGGGGGGGTGGCTTTGGCGGTTAGCCTTGATATCGTTAACGCGTTCGGCACCCTCCCCTGGCAGGCGATTAGGGCGGCCCTTGAATTTCATGAGGTGCCGCTCTACCTGCGGGCCGTCATTGGGGCCTATCTGCGCGATAGGACAGTGAAGTTTATCGGTCGGGGCGGGGTGGAAAATCGGAGAGAGGTGTATTGC